ACTATCTTTAACCTAAATCCTTAAAATAAGTTATAAAATTTAAGTAGATCTAGATAAAGTAATTATAAAATATAAGATACTATAATATCTAATAAATATACTATATAAACTTAAAAAGTAAACCTAAGTAATATTAGAACTTTAGAAAGTAATATACTATCTTTAATATTAAAGGTAGAAACTAAAAATAATAGTAATATAAAGATAGTAATAGGTAATAGGATAGATAATATACTCTTATTTAAGGATATATTAGAACTATTTAAGGATATAAGCTAAGAAAAAGATATTAATAATTTAGCTTTAAAGGTAAAAAAAGATAACTAAATATATATATATTTATTTAGCCTTTAAATAAGATTAGAATTATAAGATTTATATATAGAAAATACCTAGAAAATAAGAATTTAGTCTTTTATTACTTAAAATAAGGAGATAAGTCTATACCTACTTAATAAAGATAAGCTAGTAACTTAGAAAGAGCCTATTAAGGAGAATTATAATCTATATTTATAGAATATAGTTATAAAAGACTTTAAATTATAACTAGAAATTTAAAAAGTAACTATAGAAAGCCTAATCTTTATTTTTAAAAAGACTATTTATAAAAGTAAAAAGATTAAAAGGAAAATTAAAGATAGCTAGAAGCTAGTATAGAAAAAGATAAAATTAGCTTTTACTATACTCTAATTACTAAAGATTATTACTAAAAAGAAGAAATATATAGCTAATCCTTATTATACTAACTTAAAAAAATATAATAATAAAGAATTATAAATATTATTTATAATATTAAAATATATATTCTAAAATAAATAATTAAATAATAATTAGACTTAGAATATTAAAAAAAATAAGTAGTTATACTATACTAATAATTTACTATCCCTACCTTAGAGGTAGAATAAGATTAAAAAGTATACTTTTAATACCTAATTTAGAGAAGTAGGTTTTAATAAAATATAAGCCCTTAATAAAATAAAGACCTAGACCTATATATATAGAAATATTAAAAAGGGATATACTCTACTTCTTAAATAGGTATTTATATATAAATTTAATACTAATAAAGTCCTAATTAAGTATAAAATATAAATCTATATATAAAGGGATTTATAGCTAATTAATAGTTAAGAAGAAATATATATAGTTATATTAGTAATATAGACTTTCTAAATAATAATAATATTTATAATAAAATATAACCTTAATTTTTAATAGTTTAATATTAAAAATACCTTTTTATATACTAATAGATAGGACTTATTAAATAAAGTCTTATATAGGCTATTACTAAGATTCTAAGAAATAATAAATTTACTAGTAGATTTTAAAAAAGTAGACTATAATATCCTACTAAATTAAGTACTTTATAGGTTATAAGACTTATTACTTCTCTAGTATTTAGAATTTACTAGTATATTAATAAAGCTAAGGCTTATATAATATAAAGAAGAATTATACCTCTTTTTTAATAAAGAGAGGTTAATATATATTATTTTCTTTATTAATAATATTATTATTTTAAATAAGAAAAAAGCTATAAAGGAAAGAAATAAATTTATTTATAAGCTACTTTAAAAATATAGAATATATAATTAAGAAAAGATATTATAATTCTTAAGAGTTAAGATTATTTATAACTAAAAGAAGAAAATAATATAACTCTCTTATAGAGTATATATAAAGAAGATTATAGCTAAGTTTAAGGTAATTAGTTTTAATTAAGTCTAAACTCCTTTATTATAGTAGTAATTTATTAAAAGAATAAAATAAATAATACTAAAAGAAGTAAAGAAATATTAAAAGATTATTAGGTTAATCCTATATATATTAATTATAATAAAAGTAGATATTATATTTATAATATTAATACTATCTTATTATTTAATAAACCTATCTTAAATATATTTTAATATAGTTATTTATATTATTTAGTATCTTCTTAATACTAAAAATTACTATATTATATATAATAAGAATAAAGAAGTAATTATTTTATAAATAGTAAATAATACCTTATATACTAATAATTTAGATATAAAGAGATCTAGTTAAGGATTTATTATAATCCTTTTTAAAGGAATTATAGCCTAGAAAGTATTATATTAAAGTATAATAATAACTTTTATTATAAAAGCTAAGTTATTAGCTTTTTAAAATACTATAAAATAAATAGTTATATTTAAGTATCTTTTCTAGGAAATAGATATTATTCTTAAACTACTTTATAAAATTTTCTATAATAATTAATAAATAATTTATTTAATTATAGCTAAAAATTAAAGAATTAATACTAAATTATAATATATTAATATTTATTATTTATAGCTTTAATAAGAATATTAATATAGATTATTTAAGGTATTATATCTTTTAATAAAAGATATACTAGTAAATAGATTTATAAAAAACCTATTACTATAGTTATTTATTTATTTTTAAGATTTAATTAGGATTATAAAGTTTAAAAGTAATAAGAGTTTAATTTAGACTAAAACCTAATAATAATATCTTTAAATACTAATAGAAAAAAGGGGAATAAAAGATATAAGAAAGGTATAAAATAATCTTATTATTTATTAATAAGATTTTTTACTAAATAATTTATAATAGCTTTATACTATTCTAATTTAGCTAAATAAGTATTAAATATAATTTTATATTTATAAAATAAGTTAAAAGACTTATACTTATTTATAGTTATTATTATTTTAAAAAAGGTTTAAGTAGAATTCTATTCCTTTTTATAAGCCTTAAAACCTATTAAAGTCTAGTATTATTTAATAAGAAAAGCCTTAATTATAAGCTTTTTTATAATTTTTAATAATATAAAAGTAAAGGAATTTATTTTATTAATAATTAAAAAACTAGTAGCCTTAAGATTATCTAAAAAGTTAATTTTTATAGTTAGAAGTTAAGGTAGAATATATAAAAAAAAAAGATTCTTAAAAGACTTAATTAAAATATAATTAAAAATAAAAGAATAAAAAAGAAGTATAAACTTAATAACCTAATACTAAGTTCCTTTTATATAATATTTAAAGTAATAACTTATTAGTTTATTATAATAAAGAGAAATAATATTAATTAAGGTTATAATATAATAATACTTATAACTTTAAGGGTTTCTTATAAAAGAATATATATATATTATATATAAAACCTTATAAAAATTACTAAGAGTATATATAATAGTTTAAGTTATAACTATAAATTTTCTTTAGGTTTTTAAGAATACTTAAGTATCTTTTTTAACTAAACTAAAGGTAAAGGAATAGTTATTAATATTATTTAAGCTTAAAGAGGTAGGGGATAATATAATAATATTATTTAAGTCTATATTATTAAGATTAAAAGTTAATAAAAGATAAAATAATTAAAAAGAATAATATATATTTTTAAAATTAAATATAATAAATATACTATTTACTTCTTAAACCTTTATAGAAGTTAAAAGCTAAGATTATTTTATTAGATTTAAGTTATTAATACCTTATAAATACTTTAAAATAAAGATAGTATATTTAAAGTTAATAATATTATTAAAATTAGAGGTTTCTTTATAAATAGAAAAAGAATAAAAATAAGGTATATTAAAGATAATAAATAAAGAAAAAGAAAATAGCCTTTTAAAAGATTAAAAGTAATTTAAATACTCCTATATAATTATTAAAAGTATTTTACTTTATATATTATAATAAGATTATATTACTAGAAAGTAGTATACTATTAAAGCTATTATTACTTTACTTTTAAATAATTAAAGAAAATTATATAAATAAGTTAATAAATATAAGAAAAAAAAGAAGATAAAATAATTATAATAAGATTAAAAAGAACTATATATATAAAAAACTTAAATATTTTTTAATTTAATAAAAGTAGTTATAAAGAATTAATTTATTAAAAAATACTATTTTTAATTAAATTCTAAAATACTTCTTTAAAATAATATAGGTAAAAAAAGAAAGAATCTACTTAAAAGGTATATTATAATTTAAATAAAGATTATAATATATATAATTAGCTAAAGACCTATTTATAATAAGAAGCTAAAAAGAGATAATAGTATATAGATAAAGGAGTTAAGTTTAAAAAAACTAATCTTAATTATTAATAAAATTAAATAATAAAAAGATATACTAAAGAAGTATAATTAGGCTAATTAGTTAGGCTAGAAAATAGGTATAAGAAGGGAGGAATTTCCCCTCTTAGTTAAGAAAGAATAAGGTAAAAATAGCTATAAGTTCTAATATATATTATTCTTTAACTCTACTATATAAAATTACTCTTAGTTATAACTAGTTATCTAATATCTATATTAGCCTGCTTATATAATTTATGAGAGGAATAGTTAGCACGTGAGCCAGGCCTCCTATCTATACGTATTTCTTCGTGTGAAATCGCCGCGTCTAGGGTACTACTATTGCTGACCTGTATTGAAATAGACCTCTTTAACTATAAGTACTCTCTTTGAAAGGGGAAATTGTTTTCCCCCTCCGAGTTGGCCAACCCGACGTCAATGATGGCGCCGATAAAGCCCTGGGCAAGGCGTTGGGTTCTGGCTACCGACCACTGTAAATCGGCCGCAGAAGCACCCTTTAGTGCATTTTACAGGCAAATGCTATCCAATACAGGTGCAGTCCGTTTCAGACGGCGGCCACCTAAACCAAAAGTAAGCACTGTAGGTGGGCGCTAATACATTAGGTAGTACCCCACAGGGGAGCCGGCTCGGAGCTTGAGCACAACTTTGTTATCTCCGCATGTCGTCACTCACTCATACTTAATTGGTTGGTAATGCCGCCAGAACCTAAAGCCGCCGGACCATTGTGCGTCCTTCACAATTGATAAAGCATCAGACGGCCGTTCAAAGTCTGCAGCTCAATCATTTCGTTATTTCCGGCCACTTGTTTGCTCTCAGCTTTGCAGCGCCCTTGTCGGCATCAGTTCCCGCCCCCGCAAGAACACAAATACACAATCATATCGTGTCCACCGTCATGGCCTCCCACGGCGACGAGAACCCGGCCCCAGAGCAGACGTCTGCCAACGAGCAGAACGAGTCCGGTTCCGAGGGAGGCAATACCTTGTACTATAGTATCCAGGATGAAATGGATGACGATGACGACGAGGACTATGAGGATGCCCCGGATGAGCTGGAAGCGGACGACTTTCAAGGTATGCCACCACGCACACAGCACTTGCGAGGCTATTTTACTCATAGCAAACGGCAGATGATCCTAGAACTGTCGAATTCCAGGTGATTTTTGGTAATGATGATGATGAGGAGATAGATATCGACGATCAAAGCGATGATGCGGATGATGACGAGGATGAAGATTATGACGAGGAAGAGGCCCAGCATATAAATCCCGACGAACGCCGGGAGGAGGCCTTTCGTATCCTATCACTACTCAGAGGTATTTTGTTTCTCTCGCCTCTCGTTCCCTTGCGCGTTGATTCCTGTGCCAATGCTAAAACCAAACAGCACGCCACCAGAATGGTCTCATAAGTCGAGGCCAGCTGCTGGCTCTGCTCAGCAATCGCCATATTGGACGCGGCCTCATGGGCGACAACGGCGAGGTCGAGCTCGAGTTGGAAGGCTTTTTTGGCCCATGGGGTACGCGCAGTCGCCGTCCGCCAAAAGATCCGAACCGCTTTCCCAAAGTGCCAAGCGACGAGGGCAGAAAACTCATGCAGTCTGGCACTTTTGGCTCCAGTAATGAAACTATTCGCCAGGATGGTACGAAGAGAATAGCAAGACGCATGCTCGAGAGGGAGCTTGGCATCGGCGATAGGCGCCAGCGCACCCGCAATACAGACTTGATAGCACAAGTAAGATTGGTACTCGCCATCCTGCCAACATGAAGGCTAACAATGACCAGTCGCTTGTTCCGTCCACCAGAGTTGAGCAAATTATACACTACGACGACCCCATCTATTCTGGCCAGTTTTCTGACGATGGCAACTTTTTCTTTTCCGTATGCCAAGACTTCAAAGTTCGCATGTATGACACCTCAAATCCGTACAGGTGGCAGCATTACAAGACAGTCAGCTTTCCCGGCGGACAGTGGACACTTACCGACGCTTCCTTGAGCCCGGACAACAAGTGGCTCGCCTATACCTCGATTGACAGTTGGGTGTGCATTGCCCCAACAGACCCGAGCGATCGCGGCGACCCTTATGCTCTAAACCTGGCAGAAGGGACACGTCGCGTGACTGACGGCTTCCGCCGACGCGGCTTTGGAATCTGGTCGATCCGGTTTTCTGGCGACGGGAGGGAGCTTGTTGCCGGCACAAACGCCCACTCCCTGGTGATCTACGATATCGAATCCCGCCAAGTGCTTCACCATGTCGAAGGCCATGAGGATGATGTCAACGCCGTGTGCTTTGCCGATAAATTGTCGCCTCATATTCTGTACTCGGGATCAGACGATGCTACGATCAAAGTTTGGGATAGAAGAAGCATGGGTGATGGCCGTGAAGTCGGCGCCTTTGTCGGCCACGTCGAGGGCTTGACCTACATAGACAGCAAAGGCGACGGACGCTATATCCTAAGCAACGGCAAAGACCAGAGCATGAAACTTTGGGACCTGCGCATGGCCATGTCTACCGAGCGCTTCCACGATATGGGCCGCACCCGTTACGCCCACTCCACTGGCTTCGACTATAGAAACGAAATGTACGACGAGAGCGATTGGGATGCGCATCCGCACGACAACTCGCTAGTGACTTTCCGCGGGCACAAGGTGCTGCGCACGCTGATCCGATGCCACTTTTCCCCGCCGTCGGCCACCAACTCCCGCTACGTATATTCCGGCAGCGCCGACGGAAAGGTGTACGTCTACAACATGGACGCTACCATTGCACGCATCATAGACGTCAAGCAGGCTACGGCGGGCACGCGACGTCGTGACCGCCGCACACGCCTGTACTTTGATGAGCCGGGCGGCTGGGGGACCTGTGTTCGCGACGCTAGCTGGAACCCGAACGCGCCCGTAATTGTCGGTAAGCTCGTCATTATGGATTGTCTTTCGTTGCATCGTTGTGCGCCTGTAGAAAATGCTAACATCGTCCAGCGTCGGCATGGAACGGGTACAGTATGGCTCGTGGAACGTGCACAGTACACTCTTTCAACGAGGCGGACGAAGACGAGGGTGAGCCAGAGATGGGGCAGAGCGTTGACGACATGCTCAAGGATAACCCCGACTTTTATCCATCGAATTACTGAGCTGTACTATGGAGTATTTTGTGTGGAAGATTTTGGTGTAATAATAAAGCAAAATCAATACAAGCTGTGTTAACAAGCAAGATACTTATGTACCTACTTATTTATGTAAAGAAGTGAATCAGTGTAGGCGGATAATCGATGCTCCACCCGTGTGGCTCGTGCACATCACCAAGCTAGGTACCTACTGAGGGAGCGAGCCTAGTTTGAGCTTCCAACTTTCATCGCAGTGTCCAGCGACGAGCGTGACAAAGTTAAACCCCAGAGCACACCAAAACATCGGATTCGAACACAGTCGCATTTAGCAGACGGTCAACTCTCCCTGACTCTTGTGCGCCCGACTCCCCACGACGCGACACGGCAAGCCCACACGACACGACGGGCGGATGTTTTTACCCGTGACGGCCCAACCGAAACTGACGACGCACGCTGCCCAACGGTCCCAGAGCGTTATAACAAGATTGGTGGTGTCTGAAAGGAGGCGTTGATATTCTCTCTTATTTTCTTGTTTTTGTCGGCTGGTCTATCAGACCGCGAAACCTGTATCGAGCCCGCGTTTGCCTGGGCAAGAAAAAGCTGCGTCCATCAGGACTAGAGTCGATTGAGGCACAGAGCATCATCGTTTTCGTGTGGCACAGAGCAGTCTTTGGCCGTGTGTTACGCAGTCCGCTTTCATCTGGTTTCTCCTTGGGAATGTACGTATTAGCATTGATTCCAGTTTATCCACTGTCAGCCCGCCGCACTTTGCGGACGGCTTTGCTTGGCCATTTGCTTTTGCCTGCCCATGGAGGTCGCTAGGTGTTCACGACGGACCGAGCAGAAGATGCCACTGACTTGTATCTCGAATACTATAATAACATTCTTTTAACAATATCTCTGCAGCTCTGGTTACATAACCTCAGACGTTTGCCACCCAGCAGCGCTCTTTCAAGATGTCGGAGGAAGCTGATTTCGAAATCGACTTTTACGGGGATGAGGGCAACGATCAGCAGGATCAAGGCCAGAAACAGTCAGAAAACCAAACCAAGACGCCGTCAGAACATAAAGGCAACCACCATAGCCCTGACCATAGTCATGACGATCACAACGGCGGCACCCACGCCGGAGACGACGCGATGGAAGACGAGAATGGCCAAACCTACGACGACCAAACCTCACAGCAAGGGACGAAGCGCAAGCAAGATGACGACGGCAAGCCAGTCGACTCGGGAGCCACGACTGCGATAATGATTTCTGAAATGAACTGGTGGACTACTGACGACGATATTCGAGGATGGTCGCGCGCCGCTGACGCCGAAAAAGACATTAAGGATATCACCTTTAGCGAGCACAAGATCAATGGCAAGAGCAAAGGGTGAGATTACGGTATACCCTATAGTTATCGCTCTACTAACATGTCCACAGACAAGCATTCGTCGAATTCAACTCACGCCAGGCAGCGACTGCAACCAAGCACCACTTGGACAAGCTCAGCGCTGAGGAATCGCAAGGCGCGCACAAGAAACTTACCGTCATGTACTGGAACGCCAGTCAGAATCCTTTCAAGACACTACCAAAAGATGCGCCCGCTAGAGGTAAGGACCTGCAGTCGAGAGGACCAACCGGCGCATACAACAGCGATCGCGGAGGGTACAACAGCAATTTTCGCGGTCGCGGTACCTTTAACAACCGCGGCAACATGGGCCAGAACAACTACAACCGCAACTATAACAACAACAGCAACATGGGCTACAACAGCAACATAGGCGGCGGTGGCTACAACAGTAACCCTATGGGGCCCGGCAACTTCAACAACTTCAACAACCGTGCCGGCATGATGGGCGGTATGCGCGGCGGTATGCGTGGTGGTCGCGGCGGCAACATGATGGGCATGAATCCCGGTATGAATGGCATGAATCCAATGGGGATGCCGATGGGCATGATGGGCGGCGGTATGGGGAATATGGGGAACATGGGAATGGGAATGATGAATCCCGGCATGCAAGGTATGAACAATCAGTCTTCCGGCTCCTCCAACCACAGAAACGAGGCACTTTACGCGCGTCTCGTCGCACAGCAAAACACCCTAAATCAGATTTGGCGCGGTCAAGCGGCCAGCATAAATACCCACTCGACAGCCTCGGGTCCGGGCACAGTGCACACTTCTATCCCCGCGTATGACGGAGCAACAGCGCCGTCCCAACAGCGGGGATATAGACAATCAAGCCATCGACCACAACACTCACGCTCAACTCACAACTCGTATCAATCAAGGATCAGCTCCGCTAACAGCTCGAATCAAGGCATGAACCCAGGCTTCAACCCTGGCAACTTCAACTTTGGACAAAACCAGGGCGGTGGTGGAGGTGGCGGCGACTGGGGCAACCCTCACGGCGCCAAGCGACCGCGGCCCGAGTAGTGCTGTTTGTCAACATTGAGGGACTAAGCCCGAGGGTTTTCGGGGTTTTTTTCTATTCACGAAATGGGGAAGAAAGAGGCGTGATGTCAGAGGGTAGTGTGCAAAACTGGGATATATCGGGGGACTCTGGCGTTGTTGTTTTCTGATTTGCTATTTGACTTTGGACGTGACGAACCATGTACTATAACAAGAAATGCATCATCTCACAAATATGAAGATATGGCTAGAAATAATGCTTTATTTTCCCTCTATGTACAATTCCACTTTCTTCTTTAGGCTACCAAGACTCCTCCAATTCATTTCTCAAACTCGTCCTTGGTGTGTCACTCCTGCTCCTCCAACCTCCGTCTTGTCCCGACAACCAGCTCCTGAATCTGCGCCCAGCGATCCCGCAGGCTCTCTCTGGACCGCGGCTCCCCCGCCGTAGACGCCTCGACATCCCCAAGGCGGGCCACAATATCCGCTTCATACCGGCGCAGCACGGCCGCCAGCGCGGCGTCCACCCGGCCCTTGTCCCGGTCCTCGTCGCGCTCCCCGTCCAGCACGGCGCGCCACTGCAGCGGGGTCAGGCAGAGCGTGCGCAGCGCCACGTGCGTGCGGTAGCAAGCCGTCTCGCGGTCGAGCATGTACCGGCCCCAGAAGCCGGCCTCTTCGAGCGTGGCGCGCTGGCCGGCGGCCGTCAGCGACGGGCACAGGTACGCGTCCAGGCTCGTCTCGTCCCAGCCGTTGGTGGGCGGCGGCAGGGTGAAGCCGTACTCGACGAGCAAAAAGTCGTTGCCGTGCGAGCCGTACTTGATGAAGAGCTCCTCGCCGGCGGCGTGCGCCGCCTGCGTGGTGATGGTGAAGGCGGCGTCGTCAAACGCGCCCGCGCAGAAGCCGGTCGGCGCGTGGTTGAAGAGGTCCACGACGGGCTGCAGCACCATGTGGTCCTCCTTGGGCCGCTGCGCCGTCGTCGGCGTCGTGTGGTAGAAGGAGCGCGTGTTGACCAGCAGCCACGCGTACAAAAAGTCCTCCCGGCTGAGGGACCCGGCGTAGGCGGCCTCGACCACGGCCCAGTCCTTGTGGAAGGTCGCGCTCTGCTTGGCGAGCAGCGCCGCGGCGGTGGGCGGCAGCAGCGCGCGCAGCTCGGCCGGCCAGCACAGCGGCTGCACGGCGCGCACGTCGCCGCGCGAGGGCAGCACGTTGCGCCAGGCGCGGAACGAGGCGGAGGAGGCCTCGTCGAAGCACAGCGCGGTGGCGAGGATGGCGTGCACGCTCGCCCCCGGCAGGCGCGCGAGGACCGACGGGGGCGTGTTGGCGAGGGAGCGCAGCGTGGCGGTGGGAACGCGCAGGATGACCTCGTTCTCCTAGTTCGAATTGTCAGTTATGAAGTGTTGGTTGTCGGTGGGGGAGTTGGGGCATGAGAATTTCTGTTACCTTGAGTGCGCGGGTAGCTACGATGCCGACACCGCGGCCGTGTAGCTGTTTGGGGGTGCAGCCATTGATCTCTATGCCTTTCGTCTGAGCCCACGTCAGTAGATTTTCAATTTCCGTCTCCATTGAGGTACAATGGTATATCGTTCATGTTGGTTCCTGGTGTTGATGTGAAGAAGTCCAAAAGCCAAGTCTAGCAAAGCACGCCTTCACTGACTCACGAGAGGTGGAACCACAAAGTGGTTGGTGAGTAGAACGAAAGCGGCGACCGGCTATTTCTACCTACTGATTCCAAATAAAATAAACAATGAGTTCTTCATTTATAATTTTAGTATTTGAAGCTAGTTGGATAAGTTGTTCCGCAACTGCTGCCTCGATTGCGACAAGTAGTTGAAGAGCCAGGGTTAGGGTTACTTGAAGTATCCTGTCATTAATTAGCCAGGAGTATTTACTCTAGGCATGGTGAGTACCGAGAACTGTACTTGGGAAGTTTCAATTGATAACAACGCTATAGCAATTTCTTACACTGACCAGCGGACGAGCCGGTCTTCACCCAAAGAATATGCTGCGGCGACGGCGCTGGGTAATAGTCATATGACTGCATTATTACTTTGTCTTCCTCGTTTCCCAGTACCTCGGGCTAGCCTCCAAAGTTATCTTTCGTGTAAGCCTCGCTACTACTACTACTTGAACTGTGGTTTGTTTGCGAATCTCACTCGGTGCAGCATCTCAGCTGCTTATTGACCACGAAACTTGCGGCGGACATTTTCTCTTAGCTCACCGCATAATTTCCCGCGTATAATTACAATCGGATCATTTCTTCCACTTCAAAGTTACATATTTCTACTTACACGAGATAAACCTCCATAGCCGTTTTAAAAAGCGCGGAGGCTGGCTCTGGACAAAGACAGCCGGTACCCTAGATCCTTTCAGAATGAAAGTTTGAATGTCACGCACCTTCATTGTCATAATAGATTCTGGAGACAAAACCCGGCGAGGACAATATTCCTCCACTTCTGTTGATTTTCAACGAAGCTGTCGAATCTATGGACGAGGTATTGGCTGGGCCATCTGAGTGGGAGTTCATGCCCATGCCTCCGGGTGTTGCCCCACCAGCAGTGGCCTGACTTGAATCAGCTTGGAGCTACTCCTTCATGACATCAACTTCGACCACGCACTCCTCGGAGCTGTCCTACACATCGCCAGGGCGCAATGGCTTCAATACAGTATCTCCGTCCCGCTGTTCGCCGGGCACTACAAGTCAAGACGTGCGCGACCTGCGGTGCGGCCTCAAGCCCGCGCGCCTTTTCCGTCTTTAACCGGCCGCCACCCAACTACGAGGGCCATGTGCCGCTGACGAGGATCGAGAGAGCCAGCCTCGCCGTCGGCTCCGGCGTCATGTCACTCATCAACCCCTACCGCCACGGTATGCCCATCAGAAACCGAACCCCCTTCTAGTTCCCTTTGCTGACCGCAGCCAGACCTCATCGCTGCTCTCGGCGAGGCGACCGCGACACCATACTTCATCTACCGACTGCGCGACGCCATGCTCGCCGACCCGACCGGTCGACGGATCCTGCGCGACCGTCCACGCATCTCGTCCAAGACACTGTCCATGGAACGCCTGCGTGCGCTGCCCAGCGGCACCGTAGGCCGCGCCTACGTCGACTGGCTCGACCGCGAGGGCGTCACGCCCGACACACGCTCAACCGTGCGCTACATTGACGACGCCGAGTGCGCGTACGTCATGCAGCGGTACCGCGAGTGCCACGACTTCTTCCACGCCGTCACCGGCCTGCCGGTTGTGAAGGAGGGTGAGGTCGCGCTCAAGGCGTTTGAATTTGCCAACACGCTACTGCCGATGACGGGGCTCAGCATGCTCGCGGTCACGACGATGAAGAAGCAGGAGCGCGCGCGCTTCTGGAGCATCTACCTGCCGTGGGCGATTCGAAACGGCCTCCGCAGCAAGGAGGTGATTAATGTGTACTGGGAGGAGCAGCTGGAGAGGAACGTCGACGACTTGCGGAAGGAGCTCGGCATTGAGCAGCCGCCGGACCTACGGGACATGCGGGCTAGGGAGCGGGCGGAGCGCAGGAAACTGGCAAAGCAGAATACGTAGCTCCTTGTGTGACTATTGTAAGACTAGTCTGGCATCACATCGCATCCTTTGTACATTAAGCTAAATTATAACGTTGAACGGTACTGATATCATTGAACCCTTGCAATTTTGGTGCAAATTGTTATGCTTCCCCGCGGGAGCTCATAGGTATATAAATCTGGCGTCGTATCTGCAAACTGCGCCGCCCATCCCGTCGCTCCTCTCGTGTCAGTTTATAGGTCGAAAAAGTCGTCCTCGTCGTCATCCCAGACTTTGCGCCGGCTGACCACAATCTTCTCCTCCTCCTTATTCTCCGCAACCGCGCTCAGGAGCTCCTTGAGCTGCTCCTCGGTGACCTTTTGCCGTAGCTGGCCCGACTGCGCCAGCGTAATCAGCCTGTTCTCAATCTCGGTCGCGCGTTCCTCCTTGACGAGGCGGATGCGGCCCAGGCGGTCGGCGGCCTCGGGGTGCAGGATCTGGTTGAGGATGCTCTGGCGGGCGTCGTCTTGTTGCCTGGACACGCTCTGTTAGGAAGGGTTCCCGGAAAACTGTGCCAAGGCTCGCCGAGCGGTGCTGCTAGACTTACTGTCGCTTTTGCTCCTGGTCTTGTGCGCCGCTACCACCTTGGCGACCACCGCCGCTGCCGCCGCCCTGCGACTTGAGCTGCTCGAGGCGAGCCTTGCGAATCTGTGCTACATGTCAGTGGCGCGCATCGATGGCGAGAGCACGAAAGTTACCTGTTCAAGTTCGGAATCGTCCATTGCGACTGGTTGAGGTGCAAACGTTCCAGACAGCCCCCGCGGCGGGGCAGAATAGCTTCAAGACTAGAGGGGCAGGCTGGTGACTTACATAATGGCGGACGGGACACGAACCGAAACCTCAATACATTTACAAAAATATATTACAAGGGACTTATGATAGGCTTTGAAGATATCTCCCTTGATTTGAATTCATCTCCGAAGATCAGGGTTTTTCTATCGTTAGCCTTGAATTCCAATCTACCTACCTACCTAGCTTGATGGACATCTAAGAAAGCCGCTGCGCCACATCCCGGGTCCACTGGTCGGTGCCCTTGCCTCCGCTAATAAACAAGGTAGTTCTCTCTTCCAAACATTACGACTACGGCGATGGACAATGCGTACATCTCTTGCTCCACCTCGCGACGCCCGAGGCTTTGTGAGAACTATCTCAGTTGCCCTCAGCACAGTGTCCACCGAGCCGCCCGCCCCATCAAAACCTAGATACCTAGATGGGTTCTTAGTAACAACACACGGCCGCCGTTGCGAGAGCCTCATAACGTCATGACCCAGGGCTGAGTCCTGCCGGCGTAAGCCGGATCCGGCCAGATCTGCGGGACCTACGCAATTGACCGGAGCTTGTACAACGTCTTTCTGGCTGCCGGGCGAAATGACTCTGTCAGCGGCCAGTACCCGAATCGTCATGAGGCCGAAACGCCTGGTATAAAGACAGCCGCGAAGATGCGATCAAGTGGACAGGTCCCGGCTCAACTGCCATCCCAAAGACTCAAGTTTGCACTTCTCTCTGCGGACACAAAATGCGTCTCTCGCATACACTACCTATCATAGCTGCCTTGTACACCAGGGCAGCGCTCGGCGACTTCATCACACCGACCTACCCAACGCCCGTTGATCTGAGCAGCAACCACAGCCTTGTCCAGGCCAGCTGGAAGAACCTCACCTCAACCCTGGACAAGTACCTCCAAGGGAAGCTCAATGCTTCCATGGGTGCCGCCTTTACCGGCGTGGAAGACGTTACCTTTTCCGTCGGCTTGTTCTCGCTCAACGACCCCAAGTCCGCGCGGCTGCAGTACCACCACGCAGCGCCCGAGATCAAGAACGCCACAGTAGGGACGCGAAAGGTAGATGAGACCAGTATTTACCGCGTCGCGTCCGTGTCGAAGCTCGTCACCGTCTTTGCCGGCCTGCTGGAGCTAGGCGACGAGGACTGGCACCGACCTCTCACAGAGATTAACCCCAGCTTCAAGCGAGACATGGCGAAGAATGCATCGGCCGTGGATGTGATCAAGACGATACAATGGGACAAGATTACGCCGTGGGCGCTTGCTACGCAACTCAGTGGGCTGCCCACGCTGGGATTTCTCGGCGACGTGTACGACAAAGCGAAAACATCCGAGTATGGCGGGCCTGTTGTCAACACGAGCTCTCTCGGGGCATGTGTAGAAAAGATATATAAGGGCAGCCTTGACTGCTCCATCGACGAAATCATCTCGTCCCTCAGGGACCTCCCACCCACCTACCTGCCGTGGAAGACGCCCATCTACTCGGACCTCAACTTCATGCTGCTCGGACTGGCCATTTCCGACCTCACCAACAAGTCCATCGCCGACGTGTACAGCGCCAGCATCTTTTCGCCGCTCAACATGACGTCGTCCAGCATCCGGAGCCAGAACACGACGCTGCCGCGCGAAGTCGTCGTCGGCACCCCCGAGAGCTACCACCTCCTCGACGCCCTGCCCGTCACGGCCCCGTCGGGCGGCGTGCTGTCGACGCTCAGCGACCTGCGCAAACTTGGTCTCGGCATCCTCAACAGCACGCTGCTCGGTGCCGAGGCTACCGACCGCTGGCTGAAGCCCGTGTCGCACACGGCGAGCCTCAGCTACTCCATCGGCGCGCCCTGGGAGATTTACCGCTACGTGCATCCGGACACGGGCCGCGTCACCGACGTCTACACCAAGCTCGGCGACGCCGGCAGCTACGGCGCCGCGCTCGCCCTCATCCCCCAGTACGATGCCGGCTTCGCGTTCCTCAACGGCGCCACGTCTGCGGCGCGCTCCGAGATTGCCCTCGGCATCCTGGACGCCGTCACCGCGACCGTCCTGCCGGCGCTCGAGGCCGAGGCGCGCGCCGAAGCCAAGCGCAACTTTGTCGGCGCGTACGCGTCCGCTGGCGGGACGCTGAACGCGACGCTCAAGATTGGCTTCAACCAGTCGACGGACCCGACCGACGTGCACTCGAGCCTGGTCGTCACCGAGTGGATGTACAACGGCACCGACATCCTGCGCAACGGAATCTTCTTCCAGGGCTCCGCGCCGCGCCTCGAGCAGTCGATTGTGCGCCCCGCCGCGAACGGCAGGCCGCGGCAGGTGGCCTTTATCCTGTCCAACTATGACCAGACGCCGACGTACGAGGCAGCTGGGTTGGGGCCCTGGACCGGGTTCTACCACTCAAACGGCGATTTTACCTACACAGGCCAGCAGAACTATGGTGGTCAGCCTGTGCGCGAGCTCGTGTTTGACCTGGATGAGAAGGGCGCCGCGGTCAAGTGCACGCCTTCGTACCAGAGGATCACGTTGACGAGATCCAAGAAATAGAAATGCGTAGCTATAGCTCACAGTATTTATACCTAGTAGAAATGCCATCTTAATATTTTCATGACGCCCCCAATGAGCACGCCCTGCAAAGGCGAAAACGTATGCGACTAAGTTGTTTATAATGTTGAAGGTAAAAAAAACATATATATGGTTGTACAGGGTAGGGTCTAGTAACTAGACGACGCTTTATATTCATCTTCCATGTCTGGCGTCACCGACGTCTCCTCGATGCGCACGTACGATTCGCGCTGTTCCGCGGCAATCGTATTCTTGGCCTTGACCAGATCCCACATCATCTTGTTCGTCGGCGCCCTGACGCCGAGCGAGTGGGCGCGGCGCAAAAAGTACCCATTCAGGTAGTCCACGTTGACTGGGTGGCCGCGGCGGATATCTTGCACCAAGCTGCTCTCGCGACTCTTGTGGCGCAGGATCCGCTTGTACAGCGCCTTTTGCGCGCGGTCGATGTCTAGAATCTCGTGGTACGTCTCGGCGCGCCCAATCTCGGGCATGAGTCGCAGGACGGAGATGATTTCCTCGAGCAAGCTGCTGATGAGCTTCCTCGCGTTGGCGTTTTGCAGAAGGCCCGAGTAGGGCAGCTCGAGAAGCAGGCACACCGGCTCGACTGCCGAGTCAAAGATGACGCCTGGCAGCTTGTACCGGAACCAGCTGTCGAATGGCGTGTATTCTGTGTTGAGGAGCTTGGCTGCTTGCAGGGACCGGACAAAGTTGGTCTGCGTCTCAACCTTGGGCTGCTCTGTCGACATGACGGCGCTCCGCTGTACCGATGTGATGTTCCATATCCCGTGGCGTAATTGCCGGACCGAGTCAAAGTTTCTGTTGAAGGCGAATTTGTGACTCATATTCCCGAGCAAGAACGTGGGTTCCTTTTCGGGCACAGAAAAGATCTTTTGCCGTACGTCTTCCAGTACGCCTAGACCGTCCGTCATGAGACAGACTGTTGTGTCATGATCTACCCGATGCTTGACTGCCTCGAGGGCCTCCATTGCACCCTGCGCCGTATTACTGGACACGACCAGCTCGTCAATGTGCGTGTCGCTCTTGGTGGCGAGGACTTGCCGCCCGACATTGAGCGGCTCAAAGGTGGCGGTTCCATGCTTGTCGAATCGCTGAAGATATCGGTATTTATTTGAGGGGCGCGTCCACGCCAGTCGCTCGACCGAGTCGTAGACGCCGGAGAGGGCATGTGCGATAAACTTTGATCGCGCGTCCTCGCCGAGGATGTGAATTTTATGAACAGAGGGGGATTTCGACGCCTCGGGCGACAATCGGACAGATGGCACGTAGAGCGACTGCCCATGGCCTCTTTGTAATATCGTCGGCTCGACAATGCCAGAGGTTGCCACGCTGTGCTGCTTCGGTCGGTATGGTAGCTCGGGACCGCCGCGAGATTTTTGCTTGTCCGTGCCGGCGCCGGCTACGGTGCCGTAGCACCGCGCGGCCCCGGACACGGCGCATTGGCTATCGCGTGTGCATGATAGTTGTCTGGGGAGGTCCTTGGCGGACACTCGTAGGCGAGGTAACCGAGCCACTTTGATGGTTGGGAGCCACGTGCAAGCCGAGCTCCGGGCTGAGAGGGGGGCGACGGTGGCGGGCAGCTGCAGGAAACTATAATTCGAGATGCATTCGCTTCGGCGATTGTGAGTCTGTAGTAGCAGACGTGATTTACGGCGTTTCGCGGCTAGACGTGGCGATGAGTTTCGTGATGGCGACAAAGGAGATTTTCGGAGGCGGCGAATGGCAGGCGTTTGTAATGGTCAGCATCATTGAGATGAGATTAGCCGGTTTCCTGCGCCGCATTTTTTGGTGGTAAGAGAGGGACCCGCTAACTGCATAGATCGGCTAAGTGCACCGAAAAGTTGACGAGGATGAAATTAGCGATCTCCTAAGCCAGGCATTTACTCTTGTACGTGGGCATCGCCTCTAAGATCAAGATTTACTTATCTAATTACTGGCTCATCGATTCGACATGTCTGGCGTCAAGGATATCACCCGCGATCTTGATAAGCTGGATTCGCAGTTGGACAGCCTAGAGGAAGCACTCGCGCCACTGTTCGGCGACATTGATGAGGTCGCATCACAGCTACCGCTGCTAGACAAGGCAAAGCTCTTCTCCCTGATTACTTACTCGATAGAATCTTTAATATTTTGTGAGTGTTCTTAGCCTCTCCATACCTCTTCGGTGTGTCGTGCTGACCATTAAATTCACAGCTGCCCTGAAGGTGCAAGGCGCAGATACGCAGAACCACCCTGTTCTCGCCGAGCTCAAGCGTGTGCAGCAATACTTTGCCAAGATCAAGGCCGCTGAGGAGCCTGCTGGGGAGCGCACCACAACGCCGAACCAAGAAGCGACGGCACGCATACTCAAGGCAGCCCTCGTGAGTTATCCCACAACCGCTGCCCTGTCATGTACACTACTGACTGGTCGTCTAGAGCGACAACAAAGAAATCAGTGCCAGACTGGCTGAGAAGATTGCCGAGGAACGTGCAAAGGCGCTGTTGAAATCTGTGGACGGACGCAAACGCCCGGTAGATGACGCAGCGGCGAGCTCAGCGGGTAACGACAAGGGCGTCAAAAAGTCAAAACACCAGCACAAAACAAAAGGCAAGAGCAGAAAGTCAAGGGACTGAAGAGGGGAGTGTAAAACAAGAAGTGATCACTTGATACCCGGTATGGCATGAACAGGTGCGAAGAGATGGGCTTCATACAGGCTGCAATCTCGCAGATGACTCAGAATACATAGATGCGCGGCGTTTAGGTTACATTGCAAATGAAATTGATCCGAGCTTCCTCGATAATGTAGTCCCTGCGTATGTCACTAACTGGCTGCTGGTTGTACACTTGCCGGTGGTTCGCGTAGCCTCTGTTTGGCACGACGTCGTCTGTTTGGCGGGTAGCAAATTGCACCCTTCAAGTCGAAATTACATTAAATTTGGGGCTATATGACGACTTGGCTCTGGGCATGCTAACAACTAGTTAACTAGCGTAGGCACATCAAAACTGCCGTTGTTGATGAAAGTGGCCCGTGAGGTCAATGACCCTGGCTCCCAACCTGTACTGATGATGCAACCAAGAGCCGCAGCTTCGGAGCCTTTTGAGAGACATCCACGAACCAGGCCATATCCTCAGCAAAAAAGTGAATCGTACTCGAGGCTTGTTCTTTCATATTAGTCGTCCTGGATGACTCTCAGCTTAAATGATCCCTATGAATCACGCATATAGTTGCCGCGTACTTGCTCTCTTTGCTTTCATTTCGGTCCTATTTCTGTCTTCTGGCAAGTAAACAGAGCATCCGTTTTAGTTGTGCTAGGACCATGCAACAAGAACTTTAGATCGCCACAACCCCCCGTCGCCACATGGTGATCGGTCACAGAAAAGCACCAACACACCGCTGCACCTGGTCCTACGGGGGGGCTGTCCGTGCCATGCCAAGCTCTCCGTTGGGGAATTCTAGAAGAGGAAAAAAAGACGGCAAGTAGTCTCGATCCGCTCCAGCAACTTGTCAAGCATTTACAACCTTCCGTGAAGGCGTTTTCCGTCGCTCGGTCCCGGTCCGACATGCTCGGTGCTCTTCTGCTTCCCGGGAGAGCTTGCCCCGAAAATACGACTGCTCGGTCGGTCCGCCGAGGATTCCGGAAAAAAAAAACGAGACGGTCATTGGTAAACCTTATTTGATTGCCTCAAGTTTCTCTGCCCTTGATTGGCTGTAGATCGTGATAGCAACCCGGTCCATAAGAGCGCAAGAGTCCGCCCTACGGCCCAGGGACCCCACGACTTTTTCACATCGGTTACATGCAGGTCATGGGACGAATCACATTTGGTCAAGTGGCGTGATGGTCTTTGGCCACTAGTTGAGTTGGCTAGAAGTCCGAAGAAGAATGAGTTGCAGATCGCCTGGCCGTTGGCACCCAGACCATCCTATTAGGCACCTGTCAAGTGGATGATCCCCAACCTGCGGACCGCTTTGTGCAACGTGACAGCGCCCGAGCGGCACTTCCCATCGGTCTCGGTATAGAAGCTATAGCTCATGGCATTCTATAACTTCCGTTTTCTTTCCGTACGTGATCGCATCTTGCGCACTGGACGTGCGCTGCCCGACATCGAGACAGTGAAACAGGTTGGCCAGTTCTCACAAAGGCAGGATACCCCTCATGGCCTGTCACGATACGAGATCCTGAAGGAAATGACAATAGCCTCACTACCAGCTCCGACCTGAGACAAAATGTAACAAAAGGGTCCAGTCAGCGCGCGGAAATAATAGACGTGTCATTGTTGTACAGACGTTGCCTGTTGTGGCCGGCATGGCTTCCGTCGCCCAACCCAGGGAGTTGTTGTATACATAAAGAGCAAGTTTGTGCCACCAGGGTCGTCGGTCTCACCAGGCCTACAGAAACATACCTTTTCGTTCTTTCTCTCCAAGAAGCCCCCTCCTTGTAAGTCCACTTCCCTCTCTCCCCTGACGGCAAACTTGCTCGCGTGTCCCACGGCATTTGCTCACCCCGTCCCAACGCAAAGGTGTGTCAATACCCGGGCGGTCATGAATCCACCGCCTCAGCTCCCTCCGCGGCAGCCGACGCAGATTACCATATTCCAGATTAGTGGAGCGATTCGGATATGGGCACAGCTGTTTGTGCGATCGCGCGGGCACTGCGTCTGCGGCCGGTACACCTTTCATGGGCTCTGCGGCCACGTCGTGCATCAAGAGACGCTGCTGTGCGGCAACACGCGGACACCGTCCGGCACGACCAAGTGCTGCCATCTTTTGACGCCCGTATACTATACCGATGGGTATGTCGTGAGGATGATTTGCGATGAGTGCTACGACTAAGCGGCAGAGAAGGGTTGGGAGTTGGAAAAATAGATAGCTGACGGGAAGAATCAACCGGATTGGGACGGCAGTACACGAAGCCAAGAGAGGCCAAGAAGAAGCTGTGGAGGCGCGTTCATGAGTGTATGTTTCCATGTTGGCTTTGTCGTTCGTATCGCTCAACGGCTAGAGTCATACGTACGGGCTCACGGGGCGGCCATAACACGAGGGTAGCTTTGCGCGGCCCCGTAAATTCTGTGAGTAGTCAATATGTAACTAATATTTATTAGAATTTTGGTGTATTTATTTCGCATGGTTTTGGTATTTCTTTGTCGATTTTGCCTGTTGATCAAGGATCGTGAAGAAAGGAAGAAGAGGCCTTGTCCATAGGAACTCCGAAATAGGCCGAGTGGGCCGAGTACCGACCCTGATTGGCCACATCTCGCCACCAACTAGTCTTTACGGATTACCATTCCCCGAGCTTCCATTTCTCAAGGACCCTTTCTTTTTGATCCAGCATCTCCAAAATCCGCCCAGCAATTCCTCCCGCTCTACTCCTAATCTGCCAAACTACCAGCCACCAAACCAAAACTCACAATGCCTCGTCAACGTTCCGCCGGCCGTGCCCCCGCGCGCGCCCCGACTCGCCCGACCGCCGCCGCCCCTGCGAGCACGCCGCAGCAGGCTCGTCCGGCTACCACCATGGCCGCGCCGCCTCAGCAGTACCAGCAGGCGCCTGCCCAGTCGCAGGGCCCTGGTCTGTTTGGTCAGATGGCCAGCACTGCTGCGTAAGTGCATTGAAGAAACCTCTGATATTGGGACGTCTGTTTGGCTGTTGGAGCGTGGTTTTCCTGATCTGGGTGGAGCGTCTTTGCTCTTCCACATCCCTCCGCCGACACGGCCTCGAGATTCCCTTTCAAGGCACTGAAGACTAACAAATGCACAGTGGTGTCGCAATTGGCTCCTCGGTCGGCCACGCCCTCGGCGGCCTCTTCGGCGGCGGCTCGTCTGAGCCCGCGCCCCAACAGGTCCAGGCCCAGCAGCAGGACCACCAGCAGCAACAACACAACAACTGCTCCGGCGCAGTTCAGAGCTTCACCAAGTGCATGGACGACAACGGAGGCAACATGCAGATCTGCAACTGGTACCTCGAGCAGCTCAAGGCCTGCCAGGCCGCTGCCAGCCCGTACTAGGCCACAACGTTGTCGACAAACCCGATGCGAGACAGAAAATACCGGTTGATATGGCATATAAACATTGAGCGACATGCGATGCAAGTAGATCGGTTGAATTAAATACCAAAAAGCAGAAGACTCAATCAGAAGAGGTGACGACGAAATGGAAATGCCAGCGAACATGTGGTGATGGTCCCTTGTTCTAAGGTGTTGTTGTACAAGAAGGAATTTAGCATATGCCCGACATTGTTTGTTTTGAGCAAGATTTGTATAGTATATTCAAGCAGTCCGCTCCAACTAAAATACTACAGAGCCCCGATCAAGGGTTCTCATTTCTCGTCTTCATCTGGCCGAGGCTCAAAATTCAACTGCGACATGTTAGACCCGTAATAACATCATGGTAGACCCAATTGTACTCACAGAATTTCCATTATATAGTTGTTGATCGCCGCGCCTGTCGTTTGGGTTTTGGAATGCCTGGACACGCTGGTTTTGCAGCGCAGTTGCCGTATTGGCCGGCTGCTGGCTCCGGGCCTGCGCCGCAGGCTGGGCAGCCTCGCCTCCTAGGCCAATGAGGCCCATGAGCCAGGTGAAGAGGCCGAAAATGAGACCCATTATCTGACCAAAAAAACCTTGGGAAGGGAATTGTGATTCGTAGGCTGAAGCGAAACGTTGGATCGGAATCAGAAGAAGGGTGGATGAAGGAGCAAGCCCAAGCGCGCCAAGTGACTTGTCCTCTTCGGTGATGTCAATACTCTTATTCGGAAGCGGCGTGAGGACCTGCTTGAAAAAGTACGGGCCCTGGCCATCGGACCGTTCCTTGTCAACCCAACTCCGGATGTCTTTGATACTCTTCGTAGCTTGAAACTTGTTCCGGAGCGTGGAGCCGTCAGATAGCCGCACCTGGATAGCTGCTGCGCTGCCCAGATTCGACCTAGATACAGTTCTAGCCGCCTGTTGCTCTTTTGCTTCAGACTCCTGTGCGGCCTGGTCCTCTTGCCTTTGCTTCTTGCGTTGGGCTGCTAGGCCACGGCGGGCTGCCTTGTCATCCTCGATTCTTTTCAGGATCCTACGGCGCTCGTCATTTTGCTGGGCCTTCTTCTTCCGGATGAGCTCTGTGGCCTCTCTCTGAGCCTCAGTCTGGGACGGGGCAGCTGGTATTTCAGCCGCCGCCCTGCCTTTACCCTTGGAAGCGCTCGCGGCAGCGGCAGCGGCGTCAACCTCCTTGGACTGACTTGCGGCGGCTACTTTCTGAGCCTTGGCGGCTCTCTCCGCAAGGATCCGTCGCACATTTTCGGAACCGTCTGACTCCGGGCTACCGACAGGAATAGAAGATGACGGGATCGCTGATGACTCAGAGTTGGGCGTAGGGGTTGGAGCTGTAGTAGCGCCACTAGGTGTGGATGGGGCAGGCGTAGGCATAGGTACAGGCGCAACAGCAAAGACGTTGGCTAGTCGTCGCAGCAAATCTTCTTTGGTCGTGCCGGAAGCTATGTACTCCTTGAGCTCACCATGTTTCATAATGACGATAGTTGGAGTCTTGGGCAGTGGAAAGATTTGAGCTAGATAGCCTGCCTCGTCAGAGCCCGCCTTGAGACGGAGCGCGACGGCCTTGGCGGCAATCAAGCCATTGACCTATGCGTCAATTAGTACAGATAATTCGGCCTCGATTTTCGCATGGTAATGTACCGATTCATTTTGGAGATACTCCTCCTCCCATATCTGGCTCTCGTCGTTGCCATCTATGATTGGTTAGAGTTACGTCACATGGGTGCCTGGCTGATCGAGCATCTCGTACCCGTTACGAAGCACAACAGCAGCTTCTGCTGGCCGACAGCTGAAGATATACCTTCCTGGATCGAGCCTTGGAAGAACATTGTGGCGGAGATGTATGCGGATGGTGCGACTCGATGTCCTGCAGGTGTGCTGCTCAACACCGTAGAAGTGACAGGTGGCGTGCTGGCTGGGATGACGAGTGTCGAGCGCGAGAGCGGGTCTGGATCAGTACGGAGAAAGTCAAGCAAACATTGACAATCAACTTGATGCGCCAGGTTCTCTGTCTATTCGAAGTGCTGTAGCGTGCTTGATGTTGGGGAAATGGGTGTAGTGCAAGGATGCAGAGGCAAGGCAGCGCGGCCTGAAGCTCGGCCTGGGTGAGCCACGAGGCACAAGCCACAGTAGCGCCAGCCACCTACGCTGTCGTAACTACCTGCGTTGTTTCTAGTTACCCATTGCAATTTAATAAAGATGGCATAGTGGATACGAATTACTTCAAATATTTGCTTGGCAAATTTGAATTTTTTTTTTATCAGAATGTATTCAAGTCTGTATCTATTACTACTACTACTTACTCTGGAGCGGGGGTCCTCTGGCAAGGTGTTCTTTGCTATAGGTCTGTCAGGATGCCAAGCTTCCATCAGGCTGGCAAAGCCTCTAGTTGGCGAGGCTTCAATAGATAGGCAGGCAGTTAGCCAGCTAGATACATACATAGACTCTAAAAGGATACAAAGGCTTTCAGATTAATTAGTCTATGATCTTAAGTCTTAAAAGATTCACTTTCTCCGATGTCCGGATCAAGTCAGCTAGTTGAGGCTCATGTGTGCGCCTTGCGCCCAGCTGGAGCCGCGATGATGCTGCCAAGAGGGCTGAGAGGGAAGTGACACCAATCGGACTTATTGTTTACCTATTTATTAACGAGCGCCCATTGATAACGGTGAACATCGCATCCGCTGCAGCTAAGTCTTGTGCCGATCAGTGGCGCCGCGTCGGGCGTCAACCTAAATTCTTCTTTGGGCAAATACGACCTGGGAAGCTCTGGGGACAACATTGTTGCTTTCAAGTTTAGCGGCCGTTTATTTCTCCTCAACAACGGATTACCAGCCATACCCTAATACATGCTGGCAGCCCTCCCTTGAGGAGCCCGCTCCAGCTTGGCGAATTGGCTTGGGGATGCGAAGGGCCAGACACCCCAGTCTATACAAACAGCACAGCCCTTGTTGGAACAGCCGAATGGCTTGGCATTTGGAAGAATCTATATAATATTATGGGAGCCCCAACTTTGAAAAGCATTGCAAACGATAACCACCATCAGTTAGTATTCTGTCCAAATCGCCAACATGTCTTACGGCAGTTCCTCCTACGCAAATGAGATGCAAAAGTATGCCCTCGAGCAATCTCGCTATCTCATCGCGGCCACGGTGCTCTACGCCATCGCCTTCCTCGGCGGCCTCGCCGTCACCGCGCTTGCTTTCATCAAATTGAGAGGCGCCCATCTGCGCCACGGCGTAGCGGCCTGGCTCCGCGTCGCTTGCATCTTCTTCACCCTGTACGTTGCCCATGCCCGAAAGACTCCTACGGGCGCCTCCACTAACACGCTGCCCACCCCCCGCCGCTTAGTTATTGCCTTTTGGATACCTGCTCCTTTGCAGTCTTCTCTCCCATGGTGCATCAAGCGGGCATCGGCAAGCAGACCTATTCTTCGACCCGGCTTGAGACGCAGCTAGATGCCGCACAGTACATGGCGCTCATCGGGGCCTGGTTCAACTACGTCACGCAGGGTCTGCTCTTTGTTGCCATTGTTGTCAGCCTGTGTGCGGCAACAACGTCGACAACTTCTGGCAGCAGAGGATGCTTGATCGTGGCGTACGTCCTAGGTACTGCCTTGAACGGGCTTGCCGCTGCCGTCTTTGCCCTGAGCGTCAAGCAGTACAGCGATAAAGAAGGCACCAGTGTGGTGGCCCTTTTCGACCTCAGGGATCTGATCATGGCGTTTGACTGTGTTTTGACCGCGGCAGCGCTTTTTGCCGCTGGATTCGCTCTGTCGAGACTGTCCAAGAGCGGGCACGCGGACGGCAAGCCTGCCAAACTGGCGTTTGTGGCCAGCCTCCTGTTGCTTCTCTCTGCGCTCTACCAGCTTGCCGTCACCATTGATCTCACCTGGGTCAGCCATTATAGGTTTGGCTCGCCAAATTACCATTTTGTCTTGAGCGCCATCCTCGGTGCGTGGCCGCTGCTCGGCGCTCTGGCACTGCTCGTCGTCGCTGGCAAGAAATGGGGCGGCGGCGGTTCTACGAGGCAGCAGAAGGGTAGTGTTGCATAAGAGTTTCCATGCTGATCTTCGCATTTTACGTTATACCCTTGCTTGCGAGTTTGTTATGCTATTCACACCCCGCTGATTGATCAGACTAGCTGATGCCGACCAACGGGGGCGAGTCTCCGTTTAGTTTTGCTAGAAATAGATTACCATCAAGACTTTCCTATCGAGATCCAAGCCGCGTATGTCAGGCATAGGCTACACTGTACAATGATTTGAATTCCGCCCCCCCGGCAATCTTGGCGACTGCTGCCGTTGTGTGGCCAGAGAATTGAGTCTTGCTAAACAAATAATAAATTGGGAATCGAGGGATATGTAACTCGGATATTTGCATATATACAGATCAGGTCTATCCTCACAGAGATTTACCCTGCGAGATGCTCTTGACCCAGTTGGCATCCTTCTGCCCAAGAGCCAGCAGAACACCGATAAGTTTGGTGAGGGTAGGCTCTAGGGAGAGCCCAAGAGCGAGCGGGTTCAACTTGTCAGTCAGAACGGACTTGCTATCGCAACCACCAGGAACCCGGCCGCTGAAGGCATCACTGGTGAATTGGAGAGCGTCGAGAAGGGCAATAACCTCGGTAGTGGCGTGACCACCAGCACCATAGGTCGTGAAACGTACATTGGCACCGTTGGCGCACCAGCGCTGGCGAAGGCCGTCAGATCCGCTATAGGGGATGATCTCATCATCCGGAGCGTGGTAAAGCATGACGGGCACCGTCGGGGTTTCCTGTTTCTTCAGACCCATGGTGGTGTCCAAAAGCACAGCGGCAACGTCCTTCTGGTCAAGCAGGCCCTTGCCCAGAGTTTGGATGCTGGTATCAAAGAGTGACTGTCCTGCAAAGGCAACGAGGTTGACCACGACACACTGGCTGGCGCCGAGGGCAAGAACCTCCTTGCCGTGAGGAGTTACGATTGAGTCGAGAACAGGCTTGAGTTGCGCTCCGTAGGCAGAGGGCGTAGAAAGACCGGAAATAGCACCTGGCAGGAAACCCGAGAAGAGCGTGTTGTCAACATAGAGCAGGACCTCGGTGAGGTTAGCCGGCGTGCCACCGATGGCGAAGCCCTTGATGTTCAGTTCCGGCGCGTAGGTAGGGTGGAGAGACGCGGCCCAGCCACCAGCAATGGCACCGCCAGAGTAGCCAGCATTGACAATCATGGGGTTCTTGTCGAGACCAATCTTGGGGGCGTAATTGACGACGGCGCGCATGCCGTCCAGGACACCCATGCCGGAGAGACGCCCGGCGCTAAAGGCCACATCCGGGCCCTCGTAATCGGCCGAGGCGACCGTGTAGCCGGAGAGCAGGTAGGCCTGGATGATGAGAAACTCGGCCGCCGAGATGATGTCGGTCTGGAGCGCACCCCACTGGTAGTTGTAGCTCGGGTTGCAGATGGACGCCGACGAGTCGTAGGCCGTGTTGAAGGCGACGAAGCGGTCGCGCTTGGCGAAGAGGGGCTTGAAGAGGGTGGTGACGGTGGCAATGGCCGAGCCGTCAATGGCCGTGGTGCGGTATAGCACCTGGCGAGCGTCGATGGGGTCCGGGATGAGGCCGAAGAAGGCGGCGACGATGCGGCGCTCGCGCAGCACCGTGCCGGGCTTGGACGACGCGAAGCCGGCCGGCGGCACGTAGAAGGGGTCGTTGGCCGGGGTCGTGACGCGCTTCTCGGGGATGCTGAGAGCGGACGCGAGCGGGAGCACCGCAGCAAGCAGGGACAGGAACTTCATGTTGGGCGAGGAATACCTGCTCAACTCTGAGAGAAGGGAGAGGGATGGTCTGTGAGAAGCTTTTGACCCGCGGCGGCGACGACTACCAAGACATCTTGACAGAAAAGGAGGGGGATAGCAAGGTTCCTTATATAAGGTTCCCAAGCTCCTTTCACGAAATTAGCCAAAGCAAGGGCTCACTACTTTCGTACGAGGCACTCACTTGAATCAGTTGACCAGCAAGTGGGCGCTAGGTTTGGCAAGCTTGCCCCCCTCCTCTGCCTCTGCCAGCAAAGCGACAATACTCCGCCGGGCAACCGACTTGGGCTTGGCTTCATCTCTAAGTCCCCGGAAGTCGGGCATGCAGGGCTAAACCAAAAAGTCCAAGGGGTACGAGCGTCCCCCAAGCCCGGGCGAAAGCCTCTCTGGCCGGCTGTTGGAGGAGCGGGAGCGGAAAGCTGGGGAAATGGGTAGGGGTAGCAAAAGCCTCGGCACCAGATGCCTGTGTTTCCCCCCAGTATCATAATAAGCCACCACCATGTGAATGGGAGAGGGGGGGGGGCGGGCAGTGTGGCTTGCGGAATCGACGTCGATACCACGCACTAATGAGGCGTCTCTGTGGATGGGAGCGGGCCACACAGCCGTTGATCGTCGTCTTGATTCGGCGTGAGGTAGCCCAAAACGCACGACGTATATAATCACCAGCACCTGCCGACAAGGTGCATACATGTTGAGCGCCGGCGCACGCTCCTCTTTGAGTAAGGCGTGTTGAAGCACGATGGCATGTTGCTAGCCTTGGCGTTGGAGTGTTGGCCAGCCCTTTTTTTCCACTGTTTTCTGGGGAGATCAGCACACTAGTTTTTGAAATCAAGCTAGTTTGGGTCGTTCTGCCAAGTACATCATCATACCATTCACCATCATTCTCAGATAGTTGAACCGGCCCGAGCAGTTGAAGCTAGAACAAGGTCTACATGCAGGGTGACCCTAAATAACAAATTATTATAGGTCACTCTGGTAAGGTAGGGGTCGTACTCTTTACAAACCGAGGGTAACTTAGTTAAAGTCCAGCTGCCGGTTGTGGAGGACCGGAAATTTTTGACGGCAGGGGGTTCCAAGTTCAGGTCAGGCATGGCATTGACAAATTGAGATCCGGCTCCGGACCCCATTCTTCAATCGTCTGGGGTAGAAGGGATTTTCGGAGCCACATTCTGTCAAAAAACCTGGGGTTCCGTCGGCAGATATTTGCCCCGACTCATCCATTGAACTACATCTGCTTATTTGCCTGATGCCATCTTTGATCGTGGCGACTTATGGTTCCCTGCGATTGCCGTTTTCTCTTCGTATCCGGTTTATAGATGCTCATGCCCAAGAACAGGGCCTAAATAAATAAACTTTGAAGAATGGCTTTGGGCAAGCATGTGCCTTGCGGCTGAAAAACCGCCGCCCCCTCATCAGTCTCACCAGAAACAAACTTCCACTAGTTAGTGTCTGTTTCTAGCGTGGGACGTAGAATCACATATTCGCCAACTATCCAATTTCCGCAATGAGAGGCAGGATCATCCCTACAGAGTTACAAACTCGAAAGTCATTCTGACAGAGTGGACGTCGCCCAGGCGTCAGCCACTTCGATCGGTCGCATGGTCGTGGAGCAACGAATGTTTTCGTATGGTGCCATACCCAGACTATTCACCGATTGGCGCTGTAGCATCTCACCATCTTGCCCCTCGCTAGCCTTTGAATTAGCGTACATTATCGCGCGAAAGCCACCTCGCCAAGAACAGGCTGAGGGCTTGGACTTCCCGAAGGGCTCATTGTTCCACGCCAGCGACGGGATCCACAGACAGATGGTCGCCTGCAGTTTAGATTACCTGCATGGTAGGAGCATACGAAAGGCGCCGACAGGATTTCCGTTTTGCGTCGTCTGGTGTGCCACCAGAAGGTAGTTGAGAATGACAAGTCCGCATGTACACCTGCATGTGCAAGCCGAGTCGATATTCGGCGGGGTTTGAAGGGATGCTGAGAGTCGTATACTCTTTCAGCGGCATTCCTCATTTGCCATTCTCTTAGAAAGTCTCGTGCTTTTTTGGAAGTCTCGTGGGTCAGCAAACAAGACTTGGCGTCGGTGGTCAACGCCACTACTGCAACCTAGGCGGACCACGACGTCGATCAGGGAAGGCTGTGGGATGACACGGGGCCGGAATGGAAATCGCCATGGCTGGGTGGTGCACTTTTCTCGACGTCGATGGAAGTAATCAACATCACTAGTTCTTGCCGGCTGATCGCGGCGTTTCCGCCAAAAGATGGGCATTCGATGTCCAGCACGGACGGGGCAAGCTGTCAGGACTCCTAGCTTCTACAGTCACAGGTGTGCGTAGGGGGACATCAGACAAGGCTCCAGAGTAATCAAAAGCGTTATACGCGTACAAGTTCTCCAATGATCAGTTTCGGTATAAGCAACGTCTACTCCCACTACTGGCCTTATCTTTCCCCTCACACTAGTGACGACCAGGAGGGTTGCGATGCGGTGAGTCTCGTTGCATTAAGTAACGAGTAGCCAGTCAACCCACAATGGTTTGAAAGGATTACCTCGGAGAGGTCTATAATATTGCCATGTGAATATGTCAAGAAACCATGCCCGGCTGACGGCACTTTACCCTTCGGGTGTAACAAGCGAGCTGCATTGGTGGGCTTGCAGGTCACATTGCAGGATGCCGGCTTTCCGCTCCGTTCGCTCTTTGAGTCTCAACCTCCATAATTCGGCTCGCGCGATTTTGTCGAATGAATTATCGCGCTTGGTATCCTTGAGAGCGCCCGAGACAGGAAATCTTGGCGAGTTGGGCGTAGCCTCTGGCCCGTGTAAGTGGGAGTGGGTTGCCTGCCACCTCACGTCCATCGGCGACGGGATGGAAACACAGCCTCCGTTCCCAAATATCCTTTATTGTGACAAGGGTGCGGCCTGCAAGTTTTGAAATCATGGCAACTCGGAGCGGCGAAAAGGTCCTTCTCGTAGAACCAGCAGAACAATGTCCGACACAGCGCGGCTTCGGGCACAAACGGATAGCTCATTGCGATATCTGGAAGGGGCTCTAGATACACTTTGGGGGAAATCTCTGACCTGTGCTGAATTTCCAAAAGACGAAGAAAACAGCAAGTCGCTAGTCAATCACCAGTCATGGGAGGTCGTCCGGAGGCCGGTCCGTCGTCGCATCTCCATGTACTTATTGTGGGGCCGTCCAAAAGTCAATTCCTCAACAAGCCTCCAGCATCCCGCAAATCATCAAACGCAACGCAGCAACGCCAACTCCTTCGCCAATCTCCACCCCCATCATTGCCGACCGCGATGAATTGCGCTCAAAACGTGCTGCGTCGGCTACCGCAGCCGATGCGCCGCAGCATGATTCCCAGCGCGCGCCCCTGCTGCGCCGCCGCGCGATCCACGACGACAGCCCTCCCGCCGCGCAGCCGGTTCTTCTCGAGCACCGCCCGGCGGCGCGCTTCGAAGCAGCAACCGGCCGACGACCCCAACTTTGTGTCCACGATTGATCTCGATCCGACCATGATCCGACCGGGCCGCAAGCACGGCCCTGGCCTCATCATCCTCGGTACGCGGCGGCCGCCTCCCCCCAAATTCCTCCCAGTGAGCTAACCACGCGTAGCCCTCATCCCCATCACAGCCTTTGCCCTCGGCACCTGGCAAGTCTACCGGCTGGGCTGGAAGACGGAGCTCCTCGCACGCTTCGAGGACCGCCTCGTGCGCGACCCGCTGCCGCTGCCGCCGCACATCGACCCCTCGGCCGTGCACGACTTTGACTACCGCCGCGTCGTCGCCACCGGCCGCCTGCGGCACGACCAGGAGATGCTCATCGGGCCGCGCATGCGCGACGGCCAGGACGGCTACATGGTCGTGACGCCGCTCGAGCGCAAGGACGGCTCCACGATTCTGGTCAACCGCGGATGGATCAGCAAGAAGCACCGGGCGCAGCGCACGCGGCCCATGGGCCTGCCCGCCGGCGAGGTCACGGTCGAGGGCCTCTTGCGCGAGCCCTGGAAGAAGAACATGTTCACGCCCGACAACAGGCCCGACAAGGGCGAGTATTACTTCCCCGACGTCAAGCAGATGGCGGAGCTGACGGGGGCGCAACCGGTGTGGGTGGAGGCGACGATGGGTACGGCGGAAACACGGCTTCATATTGTGTATGGGGGCCAATTGCTAACGTTTTGGGGTAGAGCCCGAGTATATCAAAATGGTCGAGTACGAGACTCGCGGTATTCCGTTTGGCCGACCGGCCGAGGTCAACCTGCGCAATAATCACGCCCAATACATCTTCACCTGGTACGTCTATTTGCTTTCTCTCTCACGTTTCATATTCGGCTCGCTAATAATGAGACGCAGGTATGGACTCGCCGTGGCGACATCCATCATGATGTACATGGTAATGAAGAAACCCACATCTGATATTGTCCGTCGTGTCCGTGCGACACGGACTCTGTAAATACATGTAAAAAGGAACCAACCCCATGCGCCAAGCAACCCCGTTTGTACAATATCTTGATAGAATAAAGGAAAATTTTCATGAGACTTCAGAAGCATCGTCTTCGTCTTCGTCATACTGTGTAAAGCTCTTTTGGAGCTGGCCTTTGAGGTTCGCCCCCTGTGGCATTCGCAGGTCTTGCAGGAGCTCTCTGGGTAGATGCCGCTGGGCAAGGGAAAAGAGTGTGGCATCGGAGCCAATTTGCCGTTGTCTAGGGAATGATTAGTACAGACTACAGGCGTGATTATTTCGGAACAATGTCTCAACCTACCTCTTCATTAGAGTCAGTACGTCGCTCTCTTCAATGACGGTCCGCTTCGCATGATCAGCGTATGCGCCCAAATCATCGCCCAGCTGCTCAAAGAACCACTCCGATGCCTGCGTCAGCGCAGCCAGGACGTCTGAAGTGATGCGATGGTTGCTCAGACCCGACGTCTGCACCGCACGGTGCGCCACGCGGCGCACAAACGCGGGGGGTAGGGGCGGGTACTCGGCGCCGTGGCGTGAGATGCGCTTCTGCTTCTTCTTGGACTTGGGTCCCCGGCGGGCTGGCGCGGAGCGTTCTACTGCCAGGCTCGTATTGTGCTGGCGGATTGTGACATCTGCCGGGTCGCTGTCTTCCCCCTCGGATATGAGTGTCTCCCCGTCAGCCAATGCAGAAGCCCGCCGGCGGCCGGATTCCGCATCTCTTTCTTGTTCATCACCGTGTTGCCTGTTGGTAGGCTCGTCATAGTCGATGGGTTCACGCTCTTGATGGTTATCCTCATCATCGTCGCCAAATGGTGGCAGATCTTCGCCATCTGGATTATCGAGAGCCAATGAAACATTGCCGTACGTCGTATCTCCTCCTGCTCGCGCGGCTGCCGCTGTCGCAGAGGTGCCTGGCAAGGGTGACGTAGCTGGCGCATCACCGCCGGGTTCGGAAAACATAAAGGTGGTCTGATCGCCCATATCTGGGGGAACTCCAATTGTGAATTCACTTTCGCGGCCAATCGTACGCATTGTAGGATCGTTTTCGAACCTGCCGCTGTTAGTACTATTGTCGTGTCTGGCTGCTCTATATGAGGTCCTAGCTTACCGCTGAAATGCTACGGCATTGTCGTCTGCTCTGTCTTGCAAGTCGGCTAATAGCGAGCCATTGAAAAAGTCAGATGGCCGGCCCGTCATTTCCACAGTCGGGTCGTTCGGGTCAAAGTAGTCGCTGCCGCGCACGCTGCCCAGGCTGCCGCGCGCCCAGCCAGGATCACGGTATTCGCGCGGCAGTTCCACAGACCCTACGGTGTGATTGGTGATATTGTCGTCTGGTATCACGGATAGCCGAGGGGGGCGAAGCTCTATAGTATCGTCTTCATCCTCCTGCAGCGCCAGAGACAATCGTGGGGGGGCCGGTAGGTCTTCATCGTCATCGTCGTCATCGTAGTCCCCCTCCACGTCAGGCTCGTCGTCCATGTAATCGTCTTCATCGTCCGGTTCTTCACGCTCTCCGATCGGGAGCAAGCTCGACTGCGGCCCCCTTTCCGCTGGCGACGAGCTCGCAGCCACTTGCTGCGTCGACGGCGCGAGGCGTCTTGCCAGCTGGTTGAGGATGTTCATGGGTGTCTGGTGCTGCTCGCGCAAGCTGCGTCGGCGATTCTTGCCAGGGGTGAACATGGCTGTCCGTCGCTGTTCAAGTGCACGGCGCGCAGCGGTGGCATGCGGCGTGGGCGCATTATTGTTATTTTTGCGGCCCGAGGCGCTGAGTCCACGGCGGACGGAATCAGCGAGCTCGCGAGGGCCGCTGCGATCGAGTGGCGTATGGACGGTTGAGTCGGGGTTGGTTACGCGCCCGGAAGGGGTTCTCTGAGATGGTGTCCGGCCTGCAGGTGTCCGCGCTGGGCGACTACTCCCTCTAGTTGGCGTGTCGGCCATGGTGACAGTGGCGGCTGTGAATCGGTTACTTGGACGTCTCGTCAGCGGGGCGCTGCCAGGAATCGGCTGCCCATTTCTTCGCACTGATCCAGACAGTCAATCCTCCGAGGCTATCTCTCCGATGAGTTGGGTGGCCGAATATGGTTTGCTAAATGGGAGAGGTAAAAAGTAAAAAGATGGTTGGCTGCAAACGCGCCGTGAGGCCAGAAGACGCGACTAGTGGGGTCTGTGTATCGCCCGGCCGCCCAGCCTACCTACTAAGGCACCTAGTTGGCGAACTTGTCCATCCCATCCCATCATGGCCTTCGTCCATTCTACGCTTCTGGTAATTACTACCGTATGCTCAGCCTATCGTGTGTATCTAGTAGCACGTGGATTTCATACATTTCCCACTTCAGCTTCCGCAAGTCGCTAAACTTGGCCAACACATGTCAACACCACACTCTGGGCTCAAGCTTTTGCAATGCGTTTAAAAAGCCGACCAAATACCCAAAGTATGGGTAAGAAGATGAAACGAGGATAACTCCGAGAGCGGACAGTCTACTCGGGTGGCGACTGACAAAGTACCTAGTTAGCCCTGCACTAAGAGGCCTTTCAGCAACACTGAGACAATTCGAGAATCGACTACAAACACTACGCAGCCTTCTTCGGCACTTTCATCAGCAGTAACCTCATGCTTTTCTCTCAAGTTCGAATGGAAGTTGATCGTGTTGACTCATTGAAGTTAACTACCCATACTCCTACATCCATTTTCAGGAGGCCAGCTATCCAAACATGGGGTATACGCAGGCATGTACCTGATCATCGCTCTGTTCCTTAGTGTTGAAACTCGCCATCGTGGATCCATCGGTTGATGAGATCCAGGATAGGCTTCGGCTCGTCCATGGGGACTAGGTGGCCAGCGCCAAAGATGCGGGCAAAAGCGAGACCTTGAGAGGCTTGGACGGTGCCATAAGCGCTGCTGCCACAGGCCTTGTAGGTGAGGTTCTTAGTCGCGGCCGACTGGAAGGACGGCTGGCCAGGCCACTCGAGGGCATTAGTCCAGGCGCGCTGGCCGAGCCAGTTGCAGATGTAGTCGGTGTCACCGGCGTAAACCAAAACAGGGACGCTCTTGGCCAGCACCTTGGGGACGTCAAGATGGACAGGCTTCATGTCGTCGCCGGTGCTGTGAAAGTCCGAGTTGATGCGGTTGTTGCAGTTCTTGAAGCCGGTTACCTCAACGTTGAGAGCCTGCATGACATCCTGGCGGCCCAGGTACTGCTCGATGTACTTCAGGCCCTTGTAGCAGAGGCCGTCTGTGTCGGGCTCACACTTCTTACGCACGTCGTACGGGTTCTGGCCGGTCTGGTAATAGGCGTTGGGAACGCTGCTGCAGATTCCCGAGGCCAAGGCGCAGTCGTTGTCGTTTTGGGTAGTGTAGCACTTTTCGATGGCGCTTTGGCACATGGGTATGGCGTTGCGCATCTCGGCGCAGGTGCCCTGGTTGACGACGGCTGGGTAGCCACCGTTGCCGCAAGCCATCTCAGGGTATTGCGGGTACTGGTTGTAGGCATCCGTGAGACCGTTGCCAATCAGGATGCTCTTCAGGTTGATGCCGCTGTCGGGGTGGGAGAGGATCTCGGTGGCATCATGGGGGATGAAATGTCCGGCATAAGACTCGCCGGCAATGTGGAAGTCCTGCTTGGCGTACTGCGGGAACTGCTGGAAGAAGAGCTTGAGGAGGGCGTAGATGTCCTTGCTGGCGGCAAGAGAGCTGTCCACTCCCTCGCCGTACGAGTAGCCTGTGCCGACGGGTTGGTCGAGGAAAAGAATGTTGGCGCGGTTGTTCCATGAGTCGGGGTTGTCGACAACCTGTATGTTGGCGGTGACCTTGGCCGGCCCAAGCTCAAAGAACAGGCCGGTCATGGACGAGCAGCCAGGCCCGCCACTGAGCCAGAGAACAACAGGGTCCTTGGTAGGGTCACTGCGAGACTCAAAGAACCAGTAGAACAGATGTTTGTTCTTCTCGTCGTCATCAAGGTAACCCGCATACTGCTTGACCTTGTCGACGCCAAGAATGGAAGGGTCCACGCTCTTGCCACGAAGGCTGTAGTGGGAAAGGGTAGAGTTAGCAGGCTCCTCACGGCGCTCGATATCGAGACCGTTGACAATGTAGTCCCATTTGCTATCCGGCAGACGCTGGTAGCTAGGCGTGGCCAGCACCGTTGAGGCAAGGCCGAGGAGGAAAGAAGCGGACCACCTCATTGCGAGAGTACGATGGGTAGGAGAAGGGAATTCAGAACGCGATCTGAACCTGGCCCGCGTTCAAACAGGAAAAGAACGGATGCCAGGCATCTTATAACTTTTGCAGGAGCCCCATCCCGCCTTTGCACCTCCTCCATCGGCGACGGGAGGCCGGGCGCACCCCATCACTAGTGCAATGAAGTCGCCGACTGGAGCGAATGGGTGCTCGTTGTGGGCTTCACAGATCGGCTCGGCGGGCATACCTTGCCCACTCAAACCGAAATTGGGAAGGATGAGGCTGGCGTGGTCGCTGATTCGCCCCAGGCTTCTGGCCCGGGGTTGGTATCAGAGGGCAAAGTCGTCTCTTGGAAATCGAGTGGCCCGAGACGGTGAGACCCAGCGACCTTCATCAATGTGCGGTAGTGGAGCAGGCTATAGAAACGCTTGGTCCCGTGTATGAGTGGTGCTGTGCCTCCTGGTGATCACCTAGGCTGTATGCCTTGTTGGCGGCGAGGAAAGCTTGGTTCATGCGACCCTGCGAGAAAGGGCAGGTACTGGAACTAGCAAGCAACGCGAATCAAGGACCTTTGACGGAACCCTACGGGAGGGCACCCAACCCAACACAGAAGATCACATCGTCAGGTCGTCTGGTGTCTTGGTGCCTGGTCTGGTGTACGAGGCAAACACGGCTGCCAAGTGTCAAGTCAACTCAGATTAACGACTTTCCCGGCTTCACACTGGAGCACGACCGTGCTCAACTGCAGCCACAATAACCGGCCAAGGTTGGAACCTGTGGCCTAAAGACCGGTGCCGAAACAAGGCGAATCTATGGGGTTGGAGAGCTTTTCGAGTGCAGTTGGTTCGCCTCTTCATCTCGTGCTCGAAATCTCACGGCGTTGGCTATGAAAGCTGTCCCGATGGCTCATCTGTCTATGATTCATGTTCGCACCTTCCTGGCGCAAGCAATGATCAGGTATTGCGTCAACTGCCGCTGCTTAACCTCTTCCCGGCGGAAACCCTGCCGCTTGATTTCCGCTCCGGATCATACGACGTCGGTTGTCCGGCTCTATATTAGTGTCCTTGCTGAGCTCCAACCTGCCTAATGGCGGCGTGATGGCGGCGTGGAAGCTAATACAACCTAATACATAAAGATTGTGGGCATTGCGTGATGTAATGCGTGAGTTAGTTAATCGAGAATATTGACACGGTAGGCATCTTTTCAGGCATTGCGCGCCCGTCGTCCTATAGTGCAAGCAATGTATCTGAAGCAGTGGACGTCTCCATGGCCTGGCGTCCAGGCGCATACGGCAGCCTATAGGTGAGTTGTCGCCAAAACCCATTTTGCATTGTTGTATCGGGGTTTACGCACTAGGCATACACCGAGAGCGTGTATAATTTTTTTCAGTATATCAATATTTCTGTTTAAGTGCTTAGAGCCAGCCAGGCAGCCAGCCAGGCAGCCAGCCAGCAAGCAAGCAAGTAAATAAGCCAGCCAGCCAGCGAGGAAGCCAGCAAGGAAGCCAGCAAGGAAGCCAACGAGGAAGCCAACAAGGAAGCCAGCCAGCTAGCTAGCGAGGAAGCCAGCCAGCCAGCAAGGAAGCCAGCCAGCCAGCCAGCCAGTTAGCGAGGAAGCCAGCCAGCGAGGAA